TGTGGGAAACTTCTGATGTTCAGCATGTCCTGAAAAGGCAGCACAAAGGACGAGTCTGGAATCCTTTCACTTATGGGGTTTTCATCACAAAAGAAGTGATATGAAGCATTAAAAGCAGGGTGTTAGAAATTCTTTGTTGTCTGTCTAGTTACTGTATACAGCTGTGAAGTTTTTAACTGTATCCAGGACGTTATACTACAGAATGTTTAAACTGCACCAAATGAATTGCAGTAGGGAATGTGGTGTGAATATCTGTGCCAATGGATCCCTTTTGGAGTAAAAAAATATAACTCAACTAGAGCAAAAATAGGAGTAAAAACATTGGTGGAATATGATAGCTTTGCTTTAAAAATATTCATAGGTATGCCTGAATAGGAACAGATACATTAAAGTTTTCATTGCCGACTTTTGCAATAGAAACCATGTAATTTTATATCCCCCTTGAAGTGTTGTTTTTAATCTGAAAAAGTAATAATTTTTAGATAGTCAAAGCAATAAATATCCTACAGCAAACCTGACAGCATTAGATGATAGAGTTAAGAGATAGAAAAATTCAACTGAAGTTTTGTGCTAATGGTGTAAAATCCCTTCTTTTGCCCAATTCTATATTCCACCTTAACTCATACAGATATAAAATCCAGAGGAAGCAAGCAGATAGTTTTGAATGAAATTAGGTCTTTCTAAGAGTTTAAATCTCCAGAGCCCTGTGAAAATCTGTGCTCAACAATCTTTGCTTTTATAGTAAGGAAGATACCTTACCTATCAAGAGACTGCTTTAGTGGGGTATTCCCTAGAAAGCCCACTCTAGCCTAGCCTACATTTCATGTTCTTTCTCTAACCTAAATCCTGAGGTTTTCAAACAGTTTCATAAAATGTATGCACTAAAATTTGATGAAAATGTGGCTGCATGGAAAAAGAACTACTTTAGGAGAAGCTTTTAGTGCTGACAATAGGGAAACTTTTTACTGCCTCATGGAAAACTGCATGGCTGAAACTGTGACTACAGGGAGAGAAAAGGGGACTTGCCTCTTGGTCAGAGGAGAAATTTCCAGGTTTGCTGCTAAATGCACTCCGGGGAAGTGAAGGTATCTGTGATATGAAATGATAAAAGATAAAAGCAGCCCATTTTATTGCAGGGACTGGATGGCAAAGGAGAAGACCCACTTCTTGATTACACTGATTTCTGGATGTTTTATGCCTGTTGCAGGTGCTACATCCAAATGAATTGATATTTCTTTTTATGGCACCCATTAAGACAGATTTTCAGGCCTGTTTTGTCTCTTTCATAGGGAAAGTGCAAGATATGGTGATAGATATATGAACATGATAGTTGTGGAAGATAAAGGAGAAGAGAAAATGTGCTGTGGGCAGGAAACAGCTGCTTCAGCATTTCTTTTCCCTCCTGTCTATCTTTTCTGAGCTAACAGTCCATTCAGTCTGAATACAGATCTGTTCTTAATGTGTTGAACTGCATTATTTAGCCCACCACTGCAAACCAAATTGTTATCCCTGGAGATAAAATTGCTAAGTTGATTTAATGGAGCTGTGTTAATCTAGAATTTCATTTATATCTTCTCTTGGATCTGTGCACTGTAGCTTCTCTGTGTTTAGTAAGGATGATTCTGACAAAAAGGCACAAATACCCAGTGATAGCAGCTCTTTAGCTCCTCCATGCCTGCAAGAAGAGGAGACCCTTGTCTTGTAAGAAGCACTTAAAACTTGCTATTAAGTCCTGTAGTGCCTGTGTTTGCAGCACATCGATCCTTTAGAAGTGAGACACTGAAGAAGCAGATCTCTATCGTGCTCCTTGGCTGTGAGTGATTACTGAGAAACACAGAAAAGACTACCTGAGTGGTTTATTCATAATCTACTTAGTGGCTGCATTCCTTACTCCTGCGTGGTTTGAATGCCACTTGCTACAACCACCAGTTGAAAACACAACCAGCCACTGGCTGAAAAGATCTGCAGTGGTTAAAAATACTGTGAGACAGAGAGAGAGAGATGGATCAGATAGTCCTCTGGAAGAATCTGGAGAAGGATTACGTAAAAGAGAGAATTTGCAAGCCTGGAATGTGTTTTTCCCTACAGTATCTATTTCAATTTTCTGTGAAATGACTTTCAATATTTAGGTTATTTCACGTTTTGTTATAATCTCTTGGAGGGAGATCAGAGTTAAGATTTACAGTCTGAAAACAGGTTGAAATGGTTCTTGATGATGTCTGGAATGTTTTGCAAGGTTTTAGCAGCTGATATGGTGCAGATGAGTGCATAATACAAACAATAACATTTATTTTCTGTATTGCAATCCCATTCCCTAGAAGTGTGGAGATGCATTGGAGTTCTCCTTCCCTTCATTTCCCTGCATGATCCTAGACACTGTATAAAACAGGGGAAACTCCCCTCAGTTATGTTTTATAGCAATTTTCTGATCAGGAAATACCAGAATGACGGGACTCTGGTTATGAGCTAGCCAGTGGTGTCAGTATTCAGATATCAACATCTTTAACTCTTTCTTTCTTGTTGATTAGATCACACAATAAATAGCATATTCAAGATGAAATTTTAACAACAGATAATTGACTTTGGAGAACTGTGTGGCACTGAAGATGCTTGTTTGGCAGCAACCTGTGGTGCTGTAGATAGGAAGGGTCAGAAATGGGATGAGTATAAGTTATTCATGGTGTGTGATAAAAATGATAATCCCAGTGTCGTTCTCCCACATCAAGGACAGAATTATGAAAGAGGCCACTAAAATGTTTTTTGCAGTCATGTTTTGAGTGGACTGTGAGTGGAGCAAGACTGAGATTTACAGACAAGAAGCTGTAGTAATTGGCTTCTGAGCCAACAGCTCATAGGTGGGCTGTGAAGAATTTAAATTAACTCATGGATCAAGGTGTTCATCACGTTGTACTGAACCTGGTCACTCAGTACTGTCTCTAATGAGGGAGGGGAGAAAAGCTTCCATCTAACCTCTCAGCTGTCCTGTCTTCCTCAAGAAATTCATCCACTAGACCTTTCCAGATTGTTTTGCAATGTTTTGCCTGATGTGATGCAGGAGCACGTGAGCTCTGGCTACTGAGCAAAGTAACCATTTCACCTGGCTTGAATAGCATTTACCATGCAGAATAGGTTTTTCTGCAACAGGTTTTTATAGGGTCAAGCTGCTTCTTGCTGGATTTGTTTGTGTATTTCTTAATGGAAAAAAAAAAGTTCTGAATTACCTGTGAAATGCCGAGTGTTTAAAGCTTTCTGCTTGCTAACAGTTTTCTGGTTTTTGTTTGTTTGTCCATAAAGTCTGTTCTTTTTTAAAGAGCAATCTTCAGCTAAGTGAGACCGGATTTGCACCATGAGCAGTTTAGTGTCTTGAAGCTGAGATTTGTTTTAGGGAAAACGTGATTGTTGTGATGAAGGGACAAAAGGTGATCTTGCCCAGATTCCTGTGTTGATCCATAATTAATGTATTTCTTTCCTGTTAGTGTCAAAATATTTCTTTCTAGTCAGGAGTTAAATGGACTCATTCAGTGTTTATATTTATGCAAACGATCGGTTTGTCACTCCAGTTGCAACATTAAAGAAAAAAAGCCAGATATTTTACATGCCTTTGAGTATTAAAGTGATTACAATTACCTACATAAAAGCAGTTGCTTTATTAATTAATTAACTTGGAGAAAAAAGGCTAGTGACCCTCTGAAGGAATATCAATAACTGAAACATTAATTATGTAAATAAGATCTGTCTTTGCTGTTCATTACTCATAGTTTAACATGAAAATTGCCTTTTAAAATAATGCCTCATTCATATATTTCAATAAATATCTAATCTGCCTGGTCTGTCACTTGAATCTAGAGTTTGAGACAAAGACTCTGCAGTGACATGGGTACAGACCCTGTGGCATTTCCTTTGAGCCACCAGCTCCCAGTTCCTAATTACTGGGCTGGCATTTTTTGATTTTCTGGGGGTCATCCTCTCTGAGGCAGCAGTCCCCTCTGGGAACAAGTTCTTGCAAAATTTGTGTCCAGAGAGATGGAGTTGCTGTGTTTCATAGGTGAGGAAGGAGAGGAAGAAGCAGCAAAATATTTGAAGAGGTTTTGTGACTCTTGTGGTTTCAAAAGGGAGGCTGTAGCAGAGCTGCAGAACCAGCCCATCTCCAAATCCTGTTTGAGGCTATTGAGATGTAGAATTACTAAGCAGAGGTAGTAGTACCAAGACAAACCAATACCACAGTTAGACCACATGTTTGGTTGCTGTGAACCTGTGCGCTCAGTAAACTTGCTGCTCCTTTTTACCTTTTGAAAATGTGACTGTATGCCTCCTGGCAAGTGCTGCAGGTGATTTCATACAGGCTATGAGAATATTTCCCTTGTATTTCCTCTGCCTTTTTGTTTTCTAAAGTTTCACAGGGTGTATTAGCGAATTCTGATGTAGGATTCCTGGTGGGTTTTATTCCATTTTATATCCCTAAAGGCAACAGTCAGAGGTTTCCAGAGCTACTTCTTGCTCAGTGTCTGAGTATACCTGTAAGAGGAGAAGGAAGAGCTGTGTTTCTTTTTCATAATATCAAAACCTGTGCTGCAAATAATCTTGTTTCAATTTTGGGTGTGCAGACAAAAAGTAGTAGCCCTGCAGTCCCAGAAAATCTTTTACTTCCCACTCCCTGAAAAGTACCTGCTTATAAGCCTAAGATGTTCAGATTTCCTGTTTTTAATGCCTTAACACTCGCTTTGCCCACAGCAGGAAGGGCTGATGAAGAAATATGTGTGTCCCCCCCTCCCTTTCCCTTGTAGCATGATAAATTGTGGAAGTCCTGATTGAAAATTCTAATCACAGCCTTGCAGTCCTTCAGATCACAACCCTTGACAGTTGATTCACTCCTTTTCATGCCTGCTGCCTCTGACTGCTCCTGGTGCCTCTTATGCATGAGTCTATCATTAGCACACAAAGCATGATGGATTGGTTGGGGTACCTCTGTCCTTAGAACCTGGGAAATGCTTCTTTTTCAGAGTCAAAGAACCTGTGTGTGAAATCGTCATGAATGAGAGAAGAAAGTAATACAGTATTGGATGTGCCTGTTTGCTGCCACTGTTTAGAGGGAAAATGATGCATTATGGGGACTGTAAGTATATGGCCTGTTTGTTTGGGGTTTTACTCCTCACTGGTGAACGATGCAGAAAATGAGAGATTTTAAGCAATGCATAAGCTGAGTCAGGCAAATGCACAGAAGTTGTAGTATTTTTTTGGAAATCAGAACTGTAAATACTTCCAAAATCCTACTTAAAGATCAGTGCCTGTTCATGAAATCTTTTAACTTTCAGTGTGATCTGATGGCTGAAATGATTACAAATAGTGACTTTCAGTACTCACTGTGGATTCTGTTCATTTTTGTGGATTCTCTTCTATAGACCCTTTCAACAGGAAACTTTTGCAAATGTTTGCGTCTTGCAAATGCTTTTATTCATCTGTGTGACTTGGCATTTAATGTTTCAGTGAACAAGACAGTTAAGTTTTGGCTCCAGTGAAAGATTGATAGGAACAATTTTCGAATGTGGTATCACAACAAAGTGAAAATATGTCATGTTCAAATACTGAGCTCTGATGCGTCATGTGGTCTTGTAATAAATGAAATAGCACTACAGACCTGACAGATCTGCAAGAGAATGGTTTTAAATTTATGATGATTAATTTTCAAGATGAACTGCAATGAAAAAAATTGTTAGTAGATACTTAAAGAAGGTAAGGGGGGAAAGCTTCCTGAAATGATAACAGGCAGGTAATGATAAAGCTACCTTCACTTTTATATCATGCTTTCCTAAATTTTTGCAATGAGGAAATTGATATTCTGGCTGCTGCAGCTGGCATTAACAGCTATTCATGGAACTGTAACATCTCATGGCAATTCCTCTTCTTGGATTTGTACTATTGCTTGGTGCTGGTTGAAGCTGAAGATTTTCTACCAGGTCTGTGATTCTCTCAGAGCTATGAAAATAGAACAGCACTCAACTTGGTGAGAAAACAGAAGTAGCTTGATAGTGCCTTGAAAGAAAAAGAAACTTTTCTGAAACTCAGCATGTTAATTCATCTTGAGGATTTGCCACTTGAATATTGACATTGTTTTGCATTAGGACAATTAAATGTAAAGAGTATTGTTTGGTAAAGTATCAACCAATTTATTTAAACATTGTTAGGTAGTCTCAGGCTAAAACCAGGCCCTGATAGGTCTTATACTTTGCAAGAAATCAGCCATATATGGCAAGTGCTTAAGTTCTATTTGTATTGATTTAGGTTTATTTCTAACAGTGGGGTTCCTTGCTTCACTTCTTTCCATTTCACTGGGTTTGCACAGATGCCTTGGCAATCAACAAGTGCAGAATAGCTTTCTGCACCCATTAGGACTTTGTAGTTGCTGGCAAACATGATTTAATGAAATGAGTGAAGGAACTATACGATGGGACAGATCCTGGATTCAGTGTAAATTGGCAGAGCTCTGTTGCCCTGCAGAGCTGGTTTGAAGTTGTTGTTCCCTGCTGTTACAGATCAGAAACTGCATTAAACTGAGTGATGATTACGTGTTAACTCTTTCTTTGGTTAGTTCACACTTGCTTTTTGATTACAGATTGCCAGTTGAAAACTGTCTTAAGTAGATACAGACTTTTACATACACACATACAGAGGCCATCTAGTCAATATATAAAATAATATATTGAAGCAGTGACTTTATTTTGCTGCTTATTTGAGTATTTGTTCAGCAGTTTTTCGCCCTGCAAGACCTCTTTGCTTTATCTAATGTCTCTCTTGTAATATGAACTCCTGCCAAATGCAGGAAGGTAAAAGTGTTAGTTTGTTTTAGAGTTGAGAATACTCTGGAAGACTTTCATGATCAGGACTGATCAGTTACACTGTGGCATTTACAATTGGATAGAATTCAAAGTTTCTTAAGCATAAATATTCACAAGCACTCCATGTCTCATGTGAATGTGTTGTTCAGTGGTTCTGATGTCTGTTAGCACCTGACATGAAGTGACCAGAAAACTGTATTCATAACTTTCAATAACAATTGGATTGTATCTCTTTTGCAGTTTCTGACAAGTTTAGCTCTCAAATAACCCGTTGGTTTTTACCATCTGAGCTGATAAAGCTTTATAAGCTTTGGAAGTTAATTCAGAGAACATTTGAGTTGTACTTGCCATCGAAGGAGAAGTTCCATGTGTAGGGGGCTGGTTTATATTTAGGTGGGTAAAACTTCATGATTGTCTTAAGGATTTATATTATCTGTAGTTACACACAAGATCCAATGGTCTAAAGGCTTTAGAAAAGTGATTTTATTTTTAAAAAAACATGTTTTTCAGCTCTTTATTTTGTCTGTGCTAAATTAGATTTTCTGATATGTTTAAGTCAGTGGAATTTCATCTTCCATTTCACTACATAAGCATCATCAGAAAAGATTTCATGAAACAACTATAAAGACATATCCAAATTGCTCTCTATTACCATGGAGAGCTGCAATTCTGGCCTTTGTAGCTGTACCCAAATGAAGGTTAATCCAGGCAGCAGGAGCACTACCTGTGTGCCAGCTGTGCCAGCTCTCTTTCAAGGAGCCTGTCCAAGCCTGCCCACCACCGTCAGGGCTCACTTTTCACAGCCTAGTTCTGGCTAGTTGGGGTCTAACTTAGTTCTGTTCACACAAGCTGTATCCCTGTTTTCTGGGTTTAGGCATGGAGGATTTTTGCAGCAACTGGAGATTCTAAATGTAAACTCATCACATTTTAAATGTTCCAAAATGAAAAAAAGAAAAAAAGTAAACCTGACTAGATTGTGGGTTTTGTGTGTGATCTTGTAGTGATCTTGTGTGTGAAGGGCACTCGAGGCAAGGGCACTCTTGCCTGGAGTGCCTGCTGACAGGGATGAATTGGTGTTGGGTTTCATTGACTGGTCTGTGGCTTTGCATTATACTAGAATTGACTTGAAGAAAGATTTCCAAGATTTTCTTAAAATGTCCTATAAATACATTTCACTAAATAGTGTGGATTCTTTTTAAAAATTGTAACAGACGTTTCCTGATTTTCTTTGCTTGCAAATTTACTGTGAAAAAGGTTTCTTATTTACAAAATATTTATCGCTGTATCGAAAGTATGTAACTTCTTAACACACAATGGAAAAAACTTGTAAAACTTTTAAAACTAGGTTAATATTTGAGATTAGTATTCTAAATCCTGTCAAGAAATACCTAAATTATATCAATCTTAGTGACTAAATTTTGACATTTACAGATGGGCCTTTGACTTTACAGTTTGTCAGATGTGACCTGCATATCCTAGGCTATATCAAATCTGGAATCTGGAGTATGGAGCTGGAATCCATCTGTGCAGGCAAAATTTTTTTAAATGTCACTGTACATACTTTTTATACTTTAAGATAGTTTCCATCTGAGATGTGACTTACCACTATTGATACAGTTATTAGATTATATTGAAATTATTGGTTATTAGAATATTAGAACTAATTTGAATTGAAGAGTGCTTATGAGTTTTGGACCTTACGTGAAATATTTTGATACGTACTTTGACAAGATGAGCCAAACCGTTGGTGGAGATTTTAGTTTGCCTCTGAAACCAGAGAAATATTTTGCTTCTAAAAAATGAGTGTAGAAGCTTCAATATGTGATAAACTTTTCAATTTGTTGATGGAGCTGCTCATACACACCTCTGTGCTTACTCGAAGGGAAATTTGCGTACTTGGAAGTTTTGTTTAAGAGACTTTGCAGGTTCAGAAAGTTCACCATATAAACTCAGTGTATGTGCCTAATGGTAATGGTTGGGAAAATGAAAAGTACCAGGAAAGCTAAAATTCCATCCTGCTCTGCCATTGTTTGCTGGAAGTGACCAAAGCACTTTTGCAATAGGTGATACAATATTCAAGTTGTATCCAATAAAAAGACACTGAGATAACATGTGAAGTCAAGATCTGTACTTCCCCAAGAAAATGTGGATTTCTATATAGCCTATTTTAAATTTAATTTAAATCAAATGCCATGCTTTAATATGTAATAAAAATGTGTTCTATAATAAAATTGAGAAGACTGTATTGATATGTTCATGTTTTAAGCAATAATCAGTGTGGTTTGTCTAAAATGGTCTAGACTTTCATTTTAACATGTAGTGACAAAGTGGAAAGGCTGTACAGACGTATGGTGCTTTAATTAATGGGGGCAATACTAAGCTTTGAAAGTCCTCTGGAGCTTTTGTCTCTGTTGGAACATTGTCTGTGCTGTGAATCTTCCCTAATAGTTAAAGCAAATGAAGTAAAATAGCCTTTGGGCTATTTTGTTACACTGTGTTGTTGGGGAAAAATTAATCCTGTGCCATTTTGCATTTGCTGTCTGTGAATCAAACTGTGAAAGCTAATTTAAAAACTTTCACACTCGGCTTGAATGAGGACTGTCAGTGCTTGGAGAATGTCAAATAGAACACAATTAGCTCCAAGTGAGCTAGCTCAGATATACCCACCAGCCTCAGAATGCCCAGCCTTAATGACTGCTCTGATAAACTAACAGAGGTGACAGAAAAGAATTTAAAAGAATTAAGTTGCTGCTGAAAACTCACCCTGTATAGAAGAGATCTTTGAAACCGAAGTAGTTTGTACATCAAGGGACAGGGAGGTGGTGAGACCCTGTGGAAAACTAAGTACAACACAGAGCTGCATCTGTGAAAGGGAGACAAACCCACTGATGAACCTGCTCAGAAATTTTAAAGACATAAATTATTTAGGTGTTGAGCAGTTAAGTTGCCATTTATGGTCCCTGAAGTAGTTGGGTGTCATAGGTATTTATAGAAGAGGCAACTGGTACAGCTGTGGTAGATTGAAGTCCTGGAATGTTTTAGGGAATGATGGAACTACTGCTGTTCTAGTTTGGAGAAATAATGGGGGTTTGAAGTTAATCTCTTAATTGTATCTGTTTATCAAATGCTGCATCGACCTATAATGGGGACATCAGGTGTGAACTTAACTGACATTCCAAGCTTTGTTCGGGGTATTCAGAGTAACTCTCACGCTTATGGATGTGAGCAGATCTCCCAGACTACAGATGTTCTAGAGATGGGGATTTTAGGAAAAAGACTG